GTCTTTTGTAAAATCCTCTTGAGACGATTTCTCCTCATCAACCAGATAGCTTGGGGCATGTTAGAAGTGAAGCTATTCGCAAGAATTGTCGTGTAACATGCAGTTCATCAGCAGTAAACTTGGGGCATCCAAAATTAATCCCAAGGGCAATCCAGATTTGTCAAGATATGTTTTCATACATTATCAAAGGGTGGTGTTCCCAGTATCTCTAGCTAAACATGACTTTTTCCCGCTGAAACATTTGTTTGTGTTGTTATCCTTTCAATGGATTGTTGACATTAGAAGATTGGACTTTGGGTTTTCTACCTGAAAATATCTTCCTCTCCAAAGAGATTTAAGCCTTGTAAAAGGACCTTGCTCCAATGATGGCCTGTGTTTTATCTCCAGTAATGTTCCCATCCTGTTGAGATTAGCCTAGTGTTGAGTTGTACTGTGACGTCTTATCATCTCCTGTCTATCTCATGTCTGTTTTGTCAGCATATACATAACATTCATGCACAGTTGTATTTGTTGATGTCATTAAGTTCGTACACCTTGGTTATGTCTATTCAAATAGCATATTTGATCTTTCCAAATAGAGTGTCAACTTAAGCAGAAAGTGCGCCTCTTTTCTAATTCCCCACTGAGTTAACTCTCGTGGAAGAATCTTGGTTTAGCTTTCCTTTTCCATCTCTGGATAGGATAAATCCCCATTTGAGTTTGTTTCCTCCTTGGGTGGAGTCTTGTTTGACTGTTTTCTCCCCAGTTTATTCCTGGATTGAGCTTTGTCTCTTGTGAACGATACCTTGTGAATATCTCTAGGCTGTGAAACCTAGATGGAAAGTGCAGTTATTTTGCAATGTAAATACTTGGTCTCCTCAAGAAGGATTTATTCATGGTTCCCCATTGAAGATGAACTTTATTCCCCAGCAGTGTTATCACAACCTTCTTCTGGAATATCCACATGACAACAAGCGACTGACTCTTTATTTGAGCAGTTTTATTATTTATGATTTCTCTACGACAAATGGCGGTCTCTTCATGAGCAATTTGTCCATCCTCGATGAAATTATTGATTCTCACCTCCAGCAATATCTTCATGATGTTTCATGGGTATCTTTGAAAAAACAGCAAGCGGCGGTCTCTTCATGAGCAACTTGTGTGTTATTTTTCTCTTGAAAAACAGCAAGCGGCGGTCTCTTCATGAGCAACTTGTGTGTTACTGTCACCTTTCAAAACATCAAGCGACGGTCTCTTCACGAGAAACTTGTATGTTATTGATACCTTGACAAACAGCAAGCGGCGGTCTCTTCATGAGCAACTTGTGTGTTATTGGTAATTTTGAAAAGAAACAGCAAGCGGCAGTCTCTTCATGGACAACTTGTATGTTATTAACACTTTTTAAAAAAAACATCAAGCGGCGGTCTCTTCATGAGCAACTTGTATGTTATTGATACCTTGAAAGAAAACAACAAGCGGCGGTCTCTTCATGAGCAACTTGTGTGTTATTTTTCTCTTGAAAAACATCAAGCGGCGGTCTCTTCATGAGCAACTTGTATGTTATTGATACCTTGAAAGAAAACAACAAGCGGCGGTCTCTTCATGAGCAACTTGTGTGTTATTGGTAATTTTGAAAAGAAACAGCAAGCGGCAGTCTCTTCATGGACAACTTGTATGTTATCAACACTTTTAAGAAATAGCAAGCGGCTGTCTCTTCATGGACAACTTGTATGTTATCAACACTCCTTGAAAACGGCAAGTGGCAGCTTCTTCATGAGCAGCTTGTACGTTAGTATTTTTGGAAGACAGCAAGTGGCAGCTTATCTATTTGAGCAACTTGTGTGTTATTGTTCCCTTGAAAATGGCAAGTGGCAGCTTCTTTATGAGCAGCTTGTGTGCTTTGATATTCTTTGAAGACGGCAAGTGGCATCTTCTTTATGAGCAGCTTGTGGGTTATTGGCAACAAGTGGCGGACTCTTCATGAGCAGCTTGTATGCTTTAATTTTCTTTGAAGACAGCAAGTGGTGGTCTCTTCATGAGCAGCTTGTATGTTATTGACACCTTTGAAAGGAAGCAAGTGGCGGCCTCTTTATTTGAGCAGCTTGTGTATCCCCAACAATAATGTTTACTCAGCAAATGGAATCCCTTTGGAAAAGTCCCGTGGGGAAGTTTGTTATTTTATCCTTTTCAAGTGATATCTTGGTTAAAGAGGAAATGTGTTACCGTTCTTGGTAAAATTCAGAAATCAGAGATGTTTATTTCCAGCCACAGTGCTGATGTCAATCATTTTGTTTTCCAGCCACAGTGCTGATGTTAATCACTTTCCAGTCTCAGTACTGATGTCTATCATTTTCTTTTCCAGTCACAGTACTGATATCCATCATTTTCTTTTCCAGTCACAGTACTGATGTCAATCATATGCTTTTCTAGTCACAGTACTGATGTGAATCATTACCTTTTCCAGTCTCAATACCGATGTAAATCATTCAAGAGTCTCTCATTTGAAGTCTATGACTTTGTTTCCCCGGTGGTGTTATAACCTGTTCCTCTGTGGGATTACTGTATAATGTGTCTGGTTTCTCCAGCATAGTCTGTCTCATATGGCGTCATTCCCTATAAAATTCAGAGCATTACATTCATATCATATCATGAACATAATCGCGGTATCTTAAGGCCAAAAATTGTGTATTCTATATTTAAGTCCCTTCAATCTCGTCGGAATGAAGATCCCAATCTTCATATCTCCAGATAGAAGAAACTTAAATAGGGGCAGCTGTTGTACCCCAATTTTTGACCTAAGATCCCATTTTTATTTTTTGCATTTTTAAGATAAGTCAAGTGCACGAAATATGGTCGGTTTTAACCTCTCAAACTTCTCCACAACTTCCTCAGAGCACAATCAAGATTTCATCATCATTGGTTTACATGTGTATCAAGATGCTTTAGAATGCGAAGAAAGATCAAGTTTGCAAGTCGATTCAAAGTACTTAGACCAAAAAGCCAACTTTTTCAAGATCAAGTTCAAAGGATCATAAGTTTCCAATATTTTGAGACAATTCTTTTTGCATGTCGTCATATTATGCTTTGAAGGCTATGGAATTTATTGAAACGTTATAGGTCATTCTCATAACCTAGAATATTCTTAATCTCCAAGCCACAATTCATGCCATAATTGTTCTCTAAAGATATTGAATTTTATGATGAGTTTGTTCATGACACATGATGTTGAGTTTAAGGATTCTTTAAATTGTTTGGCGTTTGTTTCAAGTCACTTGCATTTGAGCATAAGTGATTGTCAAATTATGATGAATTTTTTTACCAAGGCTCTTAAGATACTATTTGTTCACTCAAGTACTAATGACAAGTTTGCAAATATTCTTCAAGATAAGCTCACAAAAGTCCATCAATTCTACAAGGACTATTTCTAAGGAAAAGTTCTTATTCAATTCAAGAATTTGATACAAACTTTAAAGAAAATTTCAAGATCCTTGATTCAAGGATATTTGTCATGTTTAGTTCAAAAGTGGAGAATGCATCATGTTAATTTTTAGGCATATTTCAAGTTTGCAATTTCAAAAAAAATCTCAAGACAAATCCATTCCAAACTCAAATGAAATATTTTAAGTTACATCCAAATTCAAGACTTGTTACAAATTTCATATCCCATTACAAATACTATAGCCACAAAATCACATGAAAAAACATTGTAAATCCTGAAGCCTATTTTAAACTATCCTTCATCAATTTTCAAAATACCAAGTTTAAGTCTATGCTATTATTTTCAAGCCCATTTTCCTTGCTTCATGATGCATCAAATTGCTCCATAACTTGTACCAATGTTGTCCATAAATCAGCTGCTACAAACACTTCAAAACAGTCCAAACCTTGCTTCAAAACCATCCATACTGTATGCTGCTCCAAACTCTGCATCATCCATGCTGCAATGCTGTAAAAAAAACTGCATAATAATGCCAAAAAGTCCCTGTCAAACCTGTCCAAAAACAGTCTAAAACTTTCACAAAAATAGGAAATGCCAATCCTGCATCAAAAAGGAAGAATCAGCCTATTACATTTTGTCCAAGACCCATAAATTTTCCCTCCAAAAAAATTCATTCTGAAGGCGGGAAAACAAAGTAAAAGAACCTGTAAAAATTTCTAATAACTTTCCTCCAAGTTGAGGGAAGCTTCAGAACATCACCTGCTCTCAAACGAAAAAACACAAAAACAAAAAAACATATACAATAACTCATCCTCCTGTTTCTTTTTTTTTTCACCACACTACCTTAACCCCCCTGCAATTATTCCTCTCATATCAAAACTTCCGAACCGTAATTCCGGCATCACCTTCTTCACTCATCCGTGAATGCTCCGCCTAGCTCATAATCCATTCAGCAACAAACTGTACTCAGGAAACTTGGAGAAAAGAATAGGCATAACTGCAGGCTTATGTACACTGATCCAGCATGTACCTGAGAAAAAAAAAGGGGACAAATATGAAGCAATTTACAGCTTCTATTTTGGAGACTATGGTCATACATCAGTACAAGGACCTAACCTCACAACTCAGCTGCTCCCATCGCACATCTTCATCTATTCATTGTTACCGTCAAGTTGCACGGTATCATCAGTTCACGAACTACCAGTTCCGTCAAAGGCATAACTTTCTTGTTACAGCTCCAGCTTCCTCAGGCCAACCGACAGGAATCAATATCCCAACAGTTGCACATCATCATCAACATCTAGCAGTTCCAACAACACACTCCACCTTCCAAACCTAAAATCAACCATGGAAGATAGTTTCAGAGTTCGTGTAGAGAAAGCCTTCGGTTCTCTTCCAATTCCTTCTGCAGCTTCTCTTTGGTCTCTCTCCGAAGACGAAACCAACAACAAACCCTTCACCCAAATTAATGCCTTTACAACTCTACAAACAAACAGACCAATCAACTAAGCATTTTCCCATTCTGTCATTTCATCAAACAGATAGTAGGCAAGCACATTCACACCGTGAGATTTGAGAATTAATGGCTGGAATTTTGAAACAACCAGGTCCATTCGCAATAACTCCACACAAAGTATCCCTCTGCATACTCTTCAAGAATCTACGCTCCTCCAACTCTTCTCCTAACACCATTACCAGATTTTCCTCCTTGAAGAGCGGTGACCAGGAAGCTCTCACGAAGTTATTTGCTGGAAAGGACAAGTCTGAAAAGGCTGGTGAAGCAACGGAAGACATACAAAACGAAAAGCAAGATACCGAAGAAAGTTGTTCAAAGAAAAGAAAATTATCCACGTCTGAGGTTAATATCACCTTTTCCGTTTCTGATGTCAAGAGTACATACAAGGATGCTACCCTTTTGCCCAAATGGAAGGCATTCCAGACAGTCATTTTTCTTGAAGGGGATGATGGTTTGCAAGATTCAAGTAAAATCGCTGCATTTGATTTTGATGGGTGTCTTGCGAAAATGATGTGAATATAACAGGTCCTAATGCTTGGTCCCTCATGTATCCCTTAATTCCTGATAAGCTGCAAACCTTATACAACGATGGCTACAAACTGGTAATTTTCACCAATGAATCCAATATTGATCGTTGGAAGAATCAAAGACAAAAAGCCGTGGACTCAAAAAATTGGACGGCTAAATCAGTTTATTGAGAAAGTGAAGGTCCCAATTCAGGTTTTTATAACTCGTGGGACAGGTGGTAAATCAGGCAAGGCTGGAACAAAGGAAGCTGATCCTTTTCGGAAACCAAAACCTCAATGGGGCGCTGCTGTTGGTATCCAGGTTCCTATTGATGCTATGTTCCAGAAGGACGAAATGATTGACCTCATTGGAGTGACAAAGAGCAATAGGGTTTTCTACAACCCAATTCTGTGAGTTTGGGAGATGGGTCCGGCCCATCCTATTTTTTTTTATATCTGTCTGATCTTTATTTGTGTTACAGTTTAGGCTTATTGTTTCCTTTTCTTTTTGTTTTAGGGCCCAACTGCTTTTATTACTCCCCCTCCAATAATTTTTTTGTTACACTCTTTCAATTTATTTCTCTTAAATAATAATTAGCTTAGTCAATCTAGGTATTTTATAGATTTAATTAAACAACTATGTTTTAGTTAATTAGATAATCTTAATTATTTAGATTAATTTTAGGCTTAATTTAATAACTTTAGAATTTTAATTTAATTAGATATAAGTTAGTGATGTTAAAACCTTTAATTAGTTTATATACATTTTGATAACTTTAGAATGTTAATTTAGTCTTAGAATTTTAATCTTTAAGTTATAATTAGTTTAGTTTAGATTTAAGTTAGTAATTTTATTATTAATATAGTTTAGATTAAATTAGTAATTTTATAATGAATTTAGTTTATACTAGTTTAGATGTAATTTAGTAACTTTAGAATTAATTTAGTTTAGACCTAATTTAGTAATATTAGAGTGTTGATTTATTTTAGATTTAATTTAATAACTTACGAATTTTAGTTAGTAACTTTAGAATTTTAATCTAGTTTTAGTTAGTAACTTCGAAGTTTTATTTAATTTAGTTAGACGCTTTAAAATTTAAGTTTAGCTTACTTAGCAACCTTAGAATTTCAAATTAGTTTAGATAATTTTTTTTTTATTTACATTTTTCTTTTATTCATGATTCTTCTTTGTCCATTCATTTAGTTTCTTACAATTTATCTTGTTATCTACCTTGTTCGTTTCTCGTAGAATTTTTTATTATTTATGCTTTCTTACTCGAATATCAGATCTACCTGCTTATGATTAATTCCAAGGGAAATGTTTCAACTCAGTTGACTTCACGTCATCAAATACATCTTCTACGATCGTGCGAATAACCTCATTCATGTTTTGCTTGCTTACTATTTTTCCAAACTTAAGACAATTTTCCCAAAAGACTTCATTTTCAAACTCACTCCTTTTAAGTCAAAACTTCAACACTAGGTTGTCGTATCTTCAAAAATCTCGTCCATACCCATCTTTTAGCCAAACGAACCATTTTAATCAAACAAACAATTTGTAACCGAAAAACAGATATTTCAAAAGGTTCCTGCGGAGTACCGCAGATGCATTGGGTGCTAATACCTTCCCATTGTATAACCAACCCCCGAACTCTCGATCTCTTTCAAAAACGCATTGTATTTTTATTACTTTTAAGTCTTATTTTACATTGCATATTTTTAGGGTTTTATTTCGCTCTTTTCCCTTTTCCCTTGGAAATAATAAAGCGCGGTGGCGACTCTTGCTTTTGTGAGTCAAGTTAATTAATAGCTTGATCTCCGATTTTCACCGCTACAGTTACTTTATCACTAAGAAACTAAGTTAAAACACTATTAATTAGTGACTCATATTTCATATACATTGGTAACAATTCAAATTATATAATGAGGCTCGATGGTATACTTATTCATCGTACTCATATGGTATTATGGTATAATATATGTAAACAATTTCAATATTTTACTTCTTCTCCATCACAAAATTTTAGGTTTTAGGTTACTTCAACACTAAGAAAATAAGTTAAAAGACAATTAATTAATGACACCTATTTTATATACTTTAGTAATAATTAAAATTATATAACATGGCTCGATAGTATATTTGTTCACCATATTCACATTGTGTTATGGTATAATAGATGTAAACAATTTTAATATTTTTCTTCTTCTCTGTCACCAAATTTCAGGTTACTTCTTGACTAAAACACTAAGTTAAAAGACTATTAATTAATGACACATATTTCATATACAATGGTAATAATAAAAATTATATAATGAGTCTCGATAGTATATTTATTCACCATACTCATATGGTATTATAGTATAATAGATGTAAATAATTTCAATATTTTTCTTCTTCTCGATCACCAAATTTTAAGTTACTTCTTCACTAAAAAACAAAGTTAAAAGACGTTTACTTAATGACACATATTTCATATACATTGGTAATAATTCAAATTATATAATGAGACTCAATAGTATATTTATTCACCATACTCCTATAGTATTATGGCATAATAATTGTAAATAATTTTAATATTTTACTTCTTCTCTATCACCTAATTTTAGGTTACTTCGTCACTTAGAAACTAAGTTAAAAGATTATTTATAAATGAAACATATTTCATATACATGTGTAATAATTCAAATTATATAATGAGGCTCGATAGTATATTTAATCACCATACTCATATGGTATTATGGTATAATAATTGTAAACAATTTCAATATTTTACTTCTTCTCCATCACCAAATTTTAGGTTACTTCATCACTAAGAAACTAAGTTAAAAGACTTTTAATTAATGACACATATTTCATATACATGGATAATAATTCAAATTATATAATGAGGCTCGATAGCATATTTATTCACCATACCCATTTGGTATTATGGTATAATAAATGTAAACAATTTCAATATTTTTTTTCTTCTCCATCACCATATTTTAGGTTACTTCATCTCTAAGAAACTAAGTTAAAAGACAATTAATTAATGACACGTATTTCATATACATTAGTAATAATTAAAATTATATAACAAGGCTTGGTAGTATATTTGTTCACCATATTCACATTGTGTTATAGTATAATAGATGTAAACAATTTCAATATTTTTCTTTTTCTCCGTCAACAAATTTCAGGTTACTTCTTCACTAAGACACTAAGTTAAAATACTATTAATTAATGACACATATTTCATATAAATTGGTAATAATTAAAATTATATAATGAGGCTCGATAGTATATTTATTCACCATACTCATATGGTATTATAGTATAATAGATGTAAATAATTTCAATATTTTTCTTCTTCTCCATCACCAAATTTTAGGTTACTTCTTCCCTAAAAAACTAAGTTAAAAAACTATTAATTAATGACACATATTTCATATACATTGGTAATAATTCAAATCATATAATGAGACTCAATAGTATATTTATTCACCATACTCATATGGTATTAAGGTATAATAATTGTATATAATTTCAATATTTTTCTTCTTCTCTATCACCAAAAATTTAGGTTACTTCATCACTAACAAACTAAGTTAAAAGACTATTTATTAATGAAACATATTTCATAGACATTGGTAATAATTCAAATTATATAATGAGGCTCGATAGTATATTTATTCACCATACTTATATGGTATTATGGTAAAATAAAAGTAAACAATTTCAATATTTTTCTTCTTCTCCATCATTAAGTTTTAGGTTATTTCTTCACTAAGAAACTAAGTTAAAAGACGGTTACTTAATGGCACATATTTCATATACATTGATAATAAATTAAATTATATAATGTGTCTCGATAGTATATTTATTCACCATACTCATATGGTATTAAGGTATAATAATTGTATATAATTTTAATATTTTACTTCTTCTCCATCACCAAATTTTTGGTTACTTCATCACTAATAAACTAAGTTAAAAGACTATTTATTAATGAAACATATTTCATATACATTGGTAATAAGTCAAATTATATAATGAGGCTCGACAGTATATTTTTTCACCATACTTATATGGTATTCTGGTAAAATAGAAGTAAACAATTACAATATTTTTCTTCTTCTCCATCATTAAGTTTTAGGTTATTTCTTCACTAAGAAACTAAGTTAAAAGACATTTACTTAATGACACATATTTCATATACATTGATAATAAATTAAATTATATAATGAGGCTTGATAGTATATTTATTCACCATACTTATATGGTATTATGATAAAATAGAAGTAAACAATTTCAATATTTTTCTTCTTCTTGATCATTAAGTTTTAGGCTACTTATTCACTAAGAAACTAAGTTACAAGACGGTTACTTAATGACACATATTTTATATAAATTAATAATAATTCAAATTATATAATGAGGCTTGATATCATATTTATTCACCATATTCATATGGAATTCTGGTATAATAGTTGTAAACAATTTCAATATTTTTCTTCTTCTCCATCACCAAATTTTAGGTTATTTCATCACTAAGAAACTAAGTTAAAAGACTATTAAATAATGATACATATTTCATATACATAGGTAATAATTCAAATTATATAACAAGGCTTGATAGTTTATTTGTTCATCATATTCACATTGTGTTATGGTATAATAGATGTAAACAATTTCAATATTTTTTTTTCTTCTCCATCACCAAAATTTAGGTTACTTCATCACTAAGAAACTAAGTTAAAACACTATTAATTAGTGACACATATTTCATATACATTGGTAACAATTCAAATTATATAATGAGATTCGATGGTATATTTATTCACCATACTCATATGGTATTATGGTATAATAATTGTAAACAATTTTAATATTTTACTTCTTCTCCATCACAAAATTTTAGGTTACTTCATCACTAAGAAACTAAGTTAAAAGACTATTAATTAATCGTACATATTTCATATACATTGGTAATAATTCAAATTATATAATGAGACTCGATAGTATATTTA